ATTTTAATCTAATTACTAGACAAACCACCCACCGATCAAATCTCAATAGACTTTAATTTTGTTTTATATGTTTTGTTTTTTTTTTGGTTAAATAATTTAAAACATTAATCAAAATCGAAAAAATCTAGTCAATAATTTCCTAAATAATTATATATTTAACAAAAATAAATAAATAAAAATAAATAAGAAAAAAAATCTTTATTTTTTATTTTTTCATAATTTACTACACAAACAGCTACAAAAATAATTGTCTATTATTATTACTATAATGTAATTATTATTATTATAATTTTTTGTTTATCTATATTAAACAAACACATAATAAATTATTATAGCTTAAATATAGTTTATCAATATTTATTTACTGTACATATAAATAAAAATTAATAACATTTTCATTGACAAAAATAAATTTTTAAAAAATTATATTTTAATTTTTTTATACATTTAAAAGATAGATATTTAAATAACAACAACAAACAAACAAATAATTTTTTTTAAATAAATATTATATAATTTATTAAAGCTATATATATTGTATAATCAAACTATCAATCAATTATGAAATTATTTTCTATCAAATAATATAAGATAATATAAGTGTAGTGGACAGTTAGGTGTATTAGGATATCCCATAACACTGGTTCATACCCGATACCCATACCTGATTGATCGCAAAACTTCGCCGTTTGATTTGATCCTAATGAACGTATTTTCAGTGGTCGCCATATGAAACTGATAGGACTTTTCGTTGGCAAAAAACGTGTCCGGCACCCATATCTTATCGGATACCTCAGCCCCGACAAACAGGGCATCAATACCCGGCCTTTTCATAAAACTTAGCCGCGAATCGCGCCACGATTGGCGAAAATAGAAATCGGCCGTAAAATCCTATTTTGYAAAMAAAWTATAATTATAGATTTTAATTAAAATTTTAATTAAATATATTAAAAAATAAAATTGATTTTTACCATATTTACAGCCGATATTGAGCTAATACTGATTATATACATTGTGACGCCTACTTCAACTGGTGGACCTATTGGATGGATGTATGAATTAAATAATATTTCAATTAAATAAAAAATATATTTATATTAATTTTTTTTTTGAAATTAAAACTAATAATTAATTAACTAAAATATAAGCATTATTAGTTAAATCACCAAACAATAATTTAATTTATAATAAAAATTTTAAAAATCATTTTTATTTATTTGAAAAAAACGATTTACAAATAAGTTATACAATTTAAATAAAGTTTGATTGTAATTATTTTTAATTAACACATTATTAAAAAATAAAATAAAAATCATTTTGTTTTTGTTTTATCTAATAATGTTTTACTAAGTACTAAATAAATACTTTATAACAAAATTTTTAAAATAAATGTTATGAATTACAACTTAGAGATAAAATTGTTATAATATGCAATTTTGTTATAATACATTAGGTAAATATTATGTATAATACAGTTTATGCAACTAAAGTATTATGTAAGATATTATAATATTTATAGATAACTTTATATATAGTTTAACAGATGATATATATATATATATATATATATATATATATATATATAGAGAGAGAGAGAGAGAGAGAGAGAGAGAGAGTCAACAACAAAGAGTAAACAACAAAGAGAGAGAGAGAGAGAGAGAGAGAGAGAGAGATAAAGTCAAATCCATTGGTTTTGGGAATTCATTTGCTTTTAATACCTAAATATTCCTAACGCTAAAAGTCCGGAATTTATCGATTCATTGCATTTATTACATTTCACTATACAGTATACAACTTATATATATATATATTGAGTGAAAATAAAACACTCAGATATATCATATACAGTATATAAAGAGAGTGAGTGAGTGAGTGAGTGAGTGAGTGAGTGAGTGAGTGAGTGAGTGAGAGAGAGTGAGAGAGAGAGAGAAAAAAGAGAGAGAATATTACAGAATATTCTGTTTCTGTGTCGATGATAGACATTCCGTACAAAACAAAAATTATTAGTTTATTGTATGGATATATACTGTACTGTATATACAGTATATAAATATAGATATATATATATATATATATATATATATATATATATTGTACACTAACACAACTGAGTTTATAAAACTGTATAAGCGCTTATGTACTCTATATAAATTTATATTATCGCCCCGATACCTATTTACAGTATTTAGGGACTTCAATATAATGCTAGTATTTATATACATGTATATATATATTTTTTTTATTTATATTGATAGTTATTTATTTATATTGTATGACATTTACTGAAAAATAAATATTGTAAAATATAAATATATTGTATATATATATAAACAAATAAATTGTTATGCATATATTTTGCATTGATTTGCAATTTATTTTTGTATCAATATCAATAAAATATTTATATTTTTATATAATATAAATGTAAAATAAGTAATGTATTATAAATAAAAATAGATTATTGTTCAATAAATAATAGTAGATAACAAAAAAATATTTAAATGTATGTATTAATCAATTAATATTTATAAAAATTTAATTCAAAATATTTTTTTAAATAAACTATATATTTAAATAATTGATTTTTGAAAATAAATTAATGATAATTATTTAAATTATACTGTATTTTGATTTTTYTGTTTTAAATAAAAAACYTTAAATAACTACTATTATTGTTATTTTTATAATCAAGTATAATATTTGAACAAAAAAAAAATACTTTTTATTTATCAAATCATAAACTATTATATAAAAAAACATAAGTTTGACAATATTTATTATAGATATAAATACTGTATATATATATATATATATAATATAAATGAATTAAATACCTTAAATTCAATAAAAATAAATAATAACAACAAAAAAACAACATAAAAATACTGTATAATGAAAAATGTCTCTCAAATTTCATTAAACACTGACACTTAAAGTATAGTAGAAAAAATATACAATAAATTATATATATATTATATATATATATATATATACATATATATATATAAAAGACACACAACTACTACTACTACTACAAAAGCAGTCATAATAATAATAATAATAATAATAATAATAAAAGCGTAGCAAAAAAAACAAAACAAAAATAATAAAAACCATTTTTTGTGTCACATTAAGTAATGGTCAAAACGTTTAGACCAAAAAAACACCATCACTTATGTGTGATCAATATATACTGTATAATATATATATATTGTATACACAAAAAAATCATATTGATATATACAGCATATATATATGATATATAGATTATATATTGTTTACTGTATACACACACATATGTGATATACAATTAATATTTATTACACTTTTTATTTAGGTTTGTTAATATTTATAGATAGTGTTAGCAAAAAAAATAAATATATATAAAAACAAATCAACAAATATAATAATAATAATTGAATTTAAATGTAACCACTAATAGTAATATATTTATTTTTATAAATGGCTAAACATTTGTTAAAATAGCTTAATGTTTTATTTAACAAAAATGTTTAATAAAAATAATCTAACATCTTAATTTTATTGAATTATTTACAATTTGTTACTAAAATATTACATTTTTATAWAAAAAAAAATAAAATAAAACAACTCTTATTAAGTAAATTATAGAAAAAAATAATACATAATATTAAATAATTAATAAATTACATTAATTTACTGTATATATTTGAAATCAATATTATTTTTTGTGCATTTTATTTATATCGCTATTTAGTGTATTTATTACTTTAATATTTAGTGTGTGTGCTATTAAACCCTATATTTATTTATTAAATGAGTTTTCATTTAATATCTTATATATTAATCTTTTTCTTTACTAACATTAGAAAATGTCAAATAATTTTTATTAAAAATATTAACACTTAAACATTGTGTGTGTGTGTRTGTGTGTGTCTGTGTGTRTGTATGTATGTGCGTATACATGTGTGTATGTATGTATGTGTGTGTGTGTAAATATATATATGTATGTTAATGTGTTATAAGCATTGTATTATATTAATAAAGTTTATTAAATGATTTTCATTTTCAAGAGTAACCCTTGAGATATATATATATATATAACTTTATATATAAATTATATATTTGAAGAAAAACCGGAAAAATTAATATAATTTATTAAATAACAAAAAAAATTTAGTAGTTTTTTTCAGAGGGAAAAAATACAATAATTTAAGCAAATATATAGTAATACTGTATATAATACACAAAATATAATAAACTACTGTAGAATATATATATATATATCTAAAATATTAATTATATTAAAACGTTATGCAGATTTATTATTATTAAATAATTAAAATAGTGTTAATATTATGTATATAAAAAAATTCAAAATAAATAATTAATTAATTAACTAATTTATTTTAAGTAGAACACACAAAATTAATAATATTATATAATTATTTATTTATTTTTTTGGCTAAATTTAATTTATTTTACAATATAATTACTTATTAAATTATTTATTATTTATTATTATTATTACAGTACTAATAAAATGAAATTAATTGTTGTAATTTAATAAAACTTGTATTTAAACAATAGTTTTTATATATATAAATAAAAAATATGTATTCATATATATAGAATAGATTATATTTTTTTGAAAACATAAATCAGTATTTATATATACAATAGATTAATAATTTTTATTTTGTATACAATATAATCTTATTTATAGTATTGTATAAATAAAATATTTACTGATTATACAAATATTGAAAATAATTTTTTATTTTATTTTATTATTTTTTGAAAAACCAAATGTCGTACGGAATTTAAGCGGAAAATTGAAATTTTATACATTTATTATACGATATAGTAGTAAGTGTTTACTGTATATATATATATATATATATATATATATATATATGTATGTATGTATTAATATGTATGTTATTCATACCCCAGATAGAAAATAAAATGTCATAAAAATGTAAAATTTATTTACAAACTATCACTTGTTTTTTTATTATTATTTTAGATATATCTTTGTGCTTAACAAATATATGATAACAAAACAAAAAATATATTAATATAGTGAAAAATATTTCGGTATATTTTATATTTTTATTGTATTTTGTTTTCCAATTTTATTTTATAATATATTTTATAGTTAAATATTTGTATTTTATGTGTATATATGTGTGTGTATATATCTGTGTATATGTATGTCTATGTATGTGTGTGTCTATGTATGTATGTGTGTGTCTATGTATGTATGTGTGTGTCTATGTATGTATGTGTGTGTCTATATATGTATGTGTGTGTCTATRTATGTATGTGTGTGTGTCTATGTATGTATGTGTGTATATATGTGTGTGTATGTATGTGTGTGTCTATGTATGTATGTGTGTATATATGTGTGTGTATGTATGTGTGTGTCTATGTATCTATGTGTAATACACATTTGTATTGCTAATGGAGTGCATAACGTAAGCCACACATCAATTGTTTTAATGTCACATATTTATTATATAACGATTTACAATATACGGTTATCGTAATAGTATTATACTRTATTGTATATTACTTCTAGGTATTCAATAAATTCAATCATATTTATAGTTTTAAAACATATAATACAGTACAGTATATAATCATACATTAACGTAGAAGACTATAAAAAATAAATTCAAATAAATAAAAATATTTATATATATACCGTATACTAGATATTAAGTTAAATAAATAAAAAAAATATTGAATATAACTGTATATTGATATACTGGTGCAAATACAGTATTATCATGTTAATTCAAACTTTTTTAAAAAAACATCTAGTGTAAAATAATAGTAAATAAATTTTATATTACTCATATAAATAATTTTTACAATATTTATAAAAAAATAAAAATAAAAATATTCTAGCATATTTTACTAAACAAAAATAAATTGTACATTAATCTATATAATATATATAATTTTTTTATAAAAATAAAATTTACTMGATTTATTTTATAAAATAAATCTAGTATTTATTTATTAATTAAATAATTTACTGATTTATTTAAG